CAACGTTTCGCGCAGAGCCAGCTTGTTCTGCTGTTTTGTAACACTGCTTGATTTTCAACAGGAGATTTGGTGGATTTAGATCGCAGAACGTTGCTGGGGATTGTAGCACAGCATGTTGTGGACAATAATTGAAAATCTAAATCATTGGGCCTTGGGTTTGGACATGTTCCTCAGATGCAGCGGTGGACGAAGTCTTCAGATCCTTTACTTGAGTAAAAGTACTAATACCACACTGAATAAATACTCTGTTACAAGTAAATGTACTCCATTGAATATGTTACTTATGTAAAAATATGTAAGTATAATCAGGGAAATGTACTTAAAGTAAAATTATTCAATGCAGAAACTGTGACTGTTACTAGTATATAGTTATATAATGAGATTATCACATATGCTTTCATGTAAAATCAGGATTTTACTGTTGTAGTTGTTCAGCTGGAGCTCATTTTGAACTATTTAGAATCAGAAAGAGTTTTATTGTCAAGTGGTATTTTACATGTATGAGGAATGTGCTTTGGTGATAAGGTGCTACACGTAGACAAACATACAGTTGACATAAATACATGTAAAAATATATAAATCTGGAATAAACAGATGCAAGTTATAATAGAATATGCCAGGTATTTACATGTGTATCACACAGGGTTTGTGTTGTGCAGACATATTACAGGGGGAGAGGATTTGTATACATACATATTGACAAAATTTAAGGATAACAACGAATATGTGCAATATGTCAATTTGTGCAGTGATATGAAATCGAAAAAGATATTTACATGTGCAAAGACATTTACAGTATTTGTAAAGAGGGTTGTTAATGAGGCCAGCTATACAGCTACATCTATCAGACTGCAACTAATAATTATTCTCCTAATGAATTCAAATTAATTGGTGCATTGTTTGGTTTGTAAAGATTCTGCTGTCACAACAACACAGAGCCGAAAGTGACACCTTCAGAATGCTTTGTTTTGTCCAACCAACAGCCTAAACATTATTAACACGACATTCAAATAATTAAAATAATTAAAAGTGAAAGTCACATTTGTGAAGCTGGAACCATGAAATGTTTCATTTATAACAAAACATCAGATTTTATAAAGTCGTCTCTTCACATGTTTGTGTAAAAAGTTACAATTTTTAAAGTAACTACTAAAGCTGTTAAATAAATATAGGGAAGTAAAAAGTACAATAATTCCCTCTGAGATGTAGAGGAGCAGTAGAAAGTGGCATGAAAAGAAAATACTCAAGTAAAAGACAGGTGCCTCAAATTTGTGCTTAAGTACTTGAGTAAATGTACTTAGCTACTGTTCACCACTGCTTAGATGCACCTGTTAAAGGTCCAACCTGTGGTAGACCTTAGAGCTCAGTGCACTGCAACTTAAGAAAACACATGCAAATAGACAAACACAAATTAGCCGTCCTCCATCTTTGTTCTCCTCTTGCTCTGTTTCCCCACTTCTTGCAAGAAATAGACCCAAGCCTCCACTTGTGGTGGTGAGTCGGTCTACTGTTGTCTGCAGCTTGATGCTAAACTTGTGGTATATCACCAACCTCTCCCTCTTCTGGCCTCAGTGGATTCTGAGGCTAATGAGAACATTATTGATTCCAACTTGGTTGCTCAAGCTGGCATAGAGATGAAATTGCTTCCTACCCCACTAAATGCTAATGTGTCAAATGGGAAACAGCTCAGCCGTGTCACTTATCGGACTAACCTTCTGAATTTGCTTCAACTCACCAGTTTGCCATCGGGAGATCTGCTGGCAAAGTGGTGAGTTGGAGCTCTTCAGTCAACTAGGGCTCCTGTCGGGGGCTGACTGGCACTCATTCAAATTATCGGTATTAGTATATACACATAGGATACACATAATTAACTTAGTTCTTATTCCTGCGTTAGTTCTTTGCCTCAGTTCTTAGTCCTGTGCCTTAATTCATGTCTCAGTGTTCCTCCTGGCCTGTGTACTTCTGTGTTTATTGTTATTTTGGCCTTGTATGTTCTGTGTTCTGTTTGATCCTAGTTTTGAAAGACAATGGGACAGACCTGACACCATCCCCCGTCACACCACTGATCAGCCACAGTCCACAATCGCATCCCCCACCTCCTCCCCCTCTCTTACCATCCAAGAGAGGGACGTCAACAGACTGTTCAGGAGGCAGAAACCTTCGCAAAGCAGCGGGGCCGGACTCTGTCTCCCCATCCACCCTGAAGCACTGTGCTGGTCAGCTGTCTCCGGTGTTTACAGACATTTTTAACACCTCACTGGAGTCATGCCATGTGCCAGCCTGCTTCAAAGCCTCCACCATCATCCCTGTCCCCAAAAAACCAAGGACCACGGGACTAAACGACTACAGACCCGTCGCCCTGACCTCTGTGGTGATGAAGTCTTTGGAGCGCCTTGTGTTGTCCCACCTTAAATCCATCATAGACCCACTCCCGGGACCCCCTGCAGTACGCCCGCAGAGCCAACAGGTCTGTAGATGATGCAGTAATCATGGCCCTTCACTACATCCTTCAGCACCTGGACTACCCAGGAACCTACGCCAGGATCCTGTTTGTGGACTTCAGTTCCGCTTTCAACACCATCATCCCGGCCCTGCTGCAGGACAAGCCCTCCCAGCTGGACGCGCCTGACTCCACCTGCAGGTGGATCACAGACTTCCTGACGGACAGGAAGCAGCACGTCAAGATGTCTCTGACACCGGGACCACATCTACAATTTTTCAGCCGGAGCCTGATCCGAGACCGACATCAATATCACGTTTTCTCGTTCTTCTTCTTCTGATGTACTTATAATATTTAGAATATAAGCAATATAACAATATTTCATACAGAAGCATGTGTGTGCTCTGCGCGTATATGGGCACAATGAAAAGAGAGAAGTCAAATGACCCCAGGTCCAACCCAACGGGATTGCAGACCTCGACTTTTTTTGTATGAAAAGTGCAATGAGAGGGCTGTATAAATATTGAAATTTGAATTAAATTGAGAATTTGAATTGAATCCCTTCAGTAAATGGGATAAAACATGTGTGAGAACATGTCCCTCTGGGTTTCTGATTTACACACTCTGATTTGTTGGTACAATGTTTAATTTTAGGTGTGTGTGTGTGTGTGTGTGTGTGTGTGTGTGTGTGTGTGTGTGAGATGCCTCATGCGTACAACCTCAGAGTTACCATTTCCAATTCCTGCCGATGATTATTCATGCTCATAACGAGACACAGAGTTGTTCATCTGACTATGAAGATGATGATCACACCTTCACCATGGCAACACACTGCCTCTCGACTTCTTACTGTGTGAATGACTGTTAAAAAAACAGTAACTTCCATTATTTCTTTTTATATTTCAACTGTGTGGGATGCATAGGTGTTGTTTTTCTCTAAATGTGTTCCTTACAATGTACGTCAGCTCGTACACCATCAAGATATGGTGAAATATATCATGTGTGGTAAAGACAACATATAATTTTGCCCAGTACAAGACAACCCGTGCAATTGAAATGCTTCACTGAATGCTTAAATACTTTCTGAAATACTAATTTCTGAATATTTTACTGCATAAACAGAACAATTTAATCAACAATGAGCTATTTGTCCATTGGATTAATTTTTCTGATTCTGACTCTTAACGACTTGCTCCTCCCGATCTAGGTCAGCTCTGATGTTCTGATCTCTGTTTTCCATTTCATTGCAATAAATGATGTGTGTAGTTTTCTGTATGTGTTGCCATGGTTACGGGGCAATGTTGGCATTGCAGTGCCAGTGGAAGGGGGGGTGTTATCTCTAGTTTCCAACACACATGCTTTATTAAATAAAAAAAGGGAAACTAATGGTAATTAAGAAATTACACAAATGGAGGAAAATATGTTTTAATTGGTTTGCATTCATCCCCTCTCGTTTCTTTTCAGAGTAATCCATCACTCACGTATTTTTTTTTTCTTGTTCCATGACTATGGTATTTGCGCTTCACTGTGCAGAATGGTGTACAGTGTGTGTACAGTGCATTTTCACATTTATCTGCTGAAAGTGTCTCTGTTCTCACAGTAAATCTCAATCTGGACGTATCTGTAGATTTGTGACAGGGTCACTATTGGTTTAGAGCCAGTTGTCTTCCAATAAGCAACGGGTCCGATGTGGAAATTTGAAGCTTTCCAGTGCACATGCACCGAGAATGGACTTTTCAGTTAAGTGTCCAACAGTTATACTTTGGAAAGGAACAACATTTGCATATTTATAGGTTCTGGATTTGGTTACTGTGGCTCCGGAGGTAGAGCGTCCACAAATAAGAAGATTGGTGGTTTGATCCCTGACTCCTCCAGTCTGCATGTTATAGCCTCAGGTAAGATACTGAACCCAAAATTGCTCCCGATGGCTGTGCCTTCGGTGTGAGAAGTTTCTGTGTTAGCATTTGACACCTTGCATAGCAACCACTGCCATCAGTGTGCGAATGTGTGTAAATGGGTTGAATATGACATATAGAGTAAAGCAGATTTAGTGGTCGAAAACGACGAATGTGTTTGCTGCTATTTTAATTAAAAATAAAAGTCTGGTTCAATCACTAATTTTCTGAATCTTGATTAGAGGATCATTCAGAGCACCTGTTGCACAGGGTGTGGGGACTCCTCAGCAGTGATGGAGAACAGCTGGGTGATTTCCTTTGGGCCAATGAGGGTGTGACAATGCCCATTCTGAAAGGCATAAGAAGGGGAGCGCACCTGCTCACCTGGGGCACTCTGATGCGTTCTGAACTTTCCTCTATGTGTGCAAAACTCACTTTCACAGGCAAGTCCCAAGTCCACCTGTGGCACTGTCCGTTGGGACCTCCCGAGACCTATTTACTGTCTCTCTTGTCTCCCATTGAAAGCTATAGAGCATTCTGGATCACAGAGTAACTCGGCGTGCATAAGACACATGCCTGTGGTGTAGGAGAGCAGGGTTTGAGTTGGATAAAACATGTTGATACTGTGTGTGTGTGTGTGTGTGGGGAAACAACACACGTTATAAAACATTTCAACAGCAGGTGTTTATTAGCATAACAGTTTTGTGTCAACACAAGTTGCTTTTGATATATCTACAATACATTTAATTTAAAAAGTAATGCTAGCTGTGTATTGTGTCAGGCAATGCTCTGTTGCTTTGAAAAGTATGCGTCTATTCAAATATCTTTTTACATAACAAAGTATAACAGCCATAAAGCATTATACAGACAAAAAAATCACAAGAGAAGAAACCAAAGTAAAGAACCTGAATGGCACTTAATGTTTTAAAGAGTAAATCAACTGTGATTCATTAAAGGCAGCAAACTGTTCTTTCATTGTTATATTGCCCATGTGGGAAATAACTAAATACATTTACTAAAGTACTTTAAGAACTTGAGTACATGTTTGAGGAACTGTTACATCTATGGAGTACTTTCATTTTGAAGACTTCCTACTACTGCTTACACTACTATTACAAAGAGTTTAATAATCAAATGATTAACTACTTACTCCAGTAAGTAGTAAAACCTACTTTTTTACTGCTTTCCTATTAAATCCACTACATGTATCCTGAGAAGAGTAATTATTATTCTTGCACAACAACTTAACAGCAGCTGTAAGTCTTGTTTTTGTTGATCTCCAATGGTTTAACTTCTTACTTCGCTGCAGTGACATAGAAGTGTGCCAGTACACTGTGACATCACAGTGGGTGGGTTACTGGTAAGCCGCACACTTCTGACAGCACTAAACCATCATTAAGTGACTTTAAACACCTTGCTGCTTTTGTAAATCTGACACCTGAAGTTTCTTCAGAAAAGCACAAGCATGAAGTGATGGGCAGGCAACACAGGAAGCTGTGTGGAGTGTGTTGTTATTTATATTCTTTTTTTTTTCTTTTCTTTTCTTAATCTGTGCTTCTACTCGGTTGACTGCAAGGGACTTGTCAAACAGGCCAGTTTGACAAGAGTCCTGCAGGACCCAGGTATTTTAACTCCACAAGGATGTGAGAGCACACATTGAATATGTACAACTGGGCTGTGCTTTTGAAGTGTTTGAAGTTGGGTATTTCAGTTGCTTGTTAGCTGAACTTGAAAGAACCTGTGAGGTCTATATTCTAGATTCTGCATGTTCTCCACTATGTACTATCTGGTAGAGAACCAACTACTGGATGCAGTGATATCATTTCTGAGCTATTCATCATTCAGAGAAAATTAAATACAGTTACGTAGTCGCTCTGCCCCGCGACTGACCCTGACACTAACCCAAACCGAAGATTAGAGGGGAATGGACTTAAAACTTGTAATGTACTCTCCAACACTGTGCACACAATCTACAGTTTACACGGGAAATGCATAACAAGGCAGCAAAACACATTAAATATTCTGATTCAGAATATAGCCCATATATTGAAACACACTTCCTTGCAGTGCTTAGCTTAACACATGCCCTGAGTTTGTCATGTTGCAAACCAGCTGTTGCATTTATTTATTGAGTACCTGGAATTTGGATTTAGGCTCAACACCATTTCACCCCTTGGCCCTACCCCTCCGTTTTGCACGTTCACGTCAAGGGGTAGGGTGTCCCAATTCTTGTTGCGATGGAGGGGTAGGGCTATATAGCCCTCGAAACTGAGATTTTTTTCAGAAGCACAGTCCAAACGGAGGGCTACGAGAAAGTTCCCAGAAGTATTTTCTTCATATAATTAATGATAACAAAGGTTATTCTTAGTTTAATGCCATTCCAATATAATATGGTGATTTTCTTCAAAACAATCATTAAAAAAATTGCCAGTTCAGCCGCTGGCATGTTGTCTCGTTAGCTTGCTTCACTAGTAACGTTACCTGGTAATGAAGCTGTGTTTTTTATTTCTACTTGGTGACTTGTTAGATCGCTTGATGTGTCATATAACGTTACCATACGAGAGAGAATACCACACCGGAGAACGACATGAAAGGAAATGTTTGGTTTTGTTCTTTGGTGTATGCCCCATTTTAAGAATCCAATTCCAAAGCCAAAACACCTGCTACATTTAGTGTTGATTTACCCTTTAAAGAGTCATTCGGTTAGAATTTTGTGTGCCGTTGGGAATCCAGTTCTGGCGTAGCAGATTCATTTTAAAACACATACAGTACATATACAGATGGTTACCAACATAAAGGAAACGTTACTAATACAATGTGGGTGTTTCCTCTAGTTTGGCAGTTATGTTACAGATTTCCAGCTCCCAATATAAAAACTATGCCTTAATGCAGGGATGTACTCTTGACATAAAATAAATTATAAATGAATCAGTTGCTCTTCAACGTGGTGAAAATGTTTTGTCACTTAACTGATGCCATTGAGCTGAACTTGTAATAGCAATACTCGGACAAAAATACCACTATAATTCACAATGTCTTTAGATCACTATAAAGTACATGCTCTGTACATTGGGAGGTAAATATACTTCATATAATTTGAAAGAACACAAGGACCACATATCCTCTCTTTGGAATGATTCAGTATGTTTATATATTAAGCTCAAATATTCAGAATGATTGTGTATTTACAGCAATGCCCTTCAAACTGACATTCGAACATACAGTGATGTATTTTGAACTAGTGACAATGTATTACCTTTGCATTCGCTTTTACGAGTAAAAATATTTGGACGGTGTTTTATAGCAATCTACCAAATGAACTCAAACGTCAAGTTGTTAGCCCGATGTAAGGTTCTCCATGCGATTGCTTCAGTTTGGGAGTAGTACAGGGTTCATCTATTCATTATAAAACAGAAAATGTGATTTTACACCATCATGGCACAACACTTATTTGTCATATTCTGTTTTATCATGTGAAATACATTTTGTGTGATATACAGAAGATAAACCTGCCATCAGCTACCATCAGATAACACTTGTCAGTCTAGTGAGACGATCTACTTAACATGGCCGTTGATCTAGTGGTTCTCCAGCTCCATCTGATCATGAGGGACAGTGACTACAGGGATACTAAACCAGTTAGCCAGTAACAGTGGAAATCTTCTTTAACCCTTGTCCAAAGTATTCATGATTCTCCATCGGCTGACTGAGACTGTAAATCATCGTACAATCTGCCTGTAGTTCTATAGACACAGAGGCAAAATGCTGATAGTACAAACTGCATGTACACACACATGCTTTATTTTCGCCAATGTGGTTGTTTCAAAAATAATAACAAGGAGTCGGAAGGGACATTTTGATACGTCTCTGCCAATGCCCTGCTATGTGGGGCTTAGGCAAGGACAGTGGCTGCTCTGGGTGGGGCTGCTCTTTGGGCACAATTTTTTATTTTTTATTTTTAGCCTGGGATTAAGATGGGGGAGAGGTTTGTTTATTTCCCTTTGGTGACCCTTCCTTACACTCATGCTCCCTGCAGTTATACCCACATGTCTTTGGATGCCTTTGGCAGACTCATTGCCTTCATCGTCACCTCAAGTTAGGACAAGCTGAGAAATTTTTAAAGGGATTTTTGTCTAAAATGACATCTGAAATGCACTGAATAATACTACTGAGGACATCAGTTTCCCAGAGGTTTCACCAAGTTAAAGAATTTAATTTTGTTAAATTTATGGTCCTCTTTTCTGTTATAGCCCAGTTTTGAAAATACTGTTAATAAGATGGATAGACCTTCTCATGAATGTCGTGTCTAGTAAGGCTTTAAATTCTTTCAGTATGTAAAGGAGTCAAGCAGTCAGTCCAATTTCCCTAAACCCTGATGTCATGTCATTTATTCTGCACATCTAGTCAATTAAGTATGTCAGCTAACCAACCAGTGACCCATCAGTCTCAATCTCTGTCAAAAGTCCTCTGGCTTTTATGATTAATTCTGAAGTTTAATAAAAAAAAAAAAAAAAAATTGAGGTCATACAGACGAGGAAAAATGTGAGCAGGCATTTATGGAAAACCAACAAATACAAGGAAATCTCAGTCTGAATAGCCAATAAAAGGATTTGCTCATAGAACCGTCATTTTTCTTTATCGTAGTCTCCAATATCTAAGATGTCAAAACTCAGTGCCTGACAATATCCCCAAGACAAATTTCAATCTTGGAGCTACACTACCTAAGTGGGAATTGTATTATCTGTAAATGTCCATTGGTTTTTAAAATCATTTTGGGGAATTTTGATTATCTGCCATGACGTTTAAATGGTACATATTCAAGTGTAATTACCGATTTATCCTCTAAGGTGCTCCATAAAAAAGCAAAAACTTGAGAGTGAAAATGAGATAATCAGGGATAATGATTAAAGAAGCCACACTGCAGGAGGGAGAACAGAATGAAATACCAAAAGCTCTTCAAATGTCCCTGCAGTCTTCAGCGTCTCTCACTGAGAACAACCACTGACAATGAAGGGCAACCGTTTTTAAACTTTGTTTCGGACTGTGCTCACAATCTACTGTGCACATGATTAAATAATTTTGTGTCTCCATGGGGAACTAATATCTGTGTAACAGCAGAGCAGCCTCACTGGTCTGCTACAAGAGCAACAAGCCACACTGGGCAGCAAAGGAAAAAAGCAAAACGCAAAAAGAACAAACAAGTGGAGTAAAATAAGTGAGAGCGGAGGCCAAAACTTAGATAACTCCAAGGCCTAACCTTTAAAAGAAACTCTTAGACATTTTCAAGACTCGCCTTGAGTGCTACAGCCCTACATCGATCAGGCCTTTAGTCGAGCTTTAGTCAACAGAAGCCGGCGTTGAATTTGTCAGACAACACTTCAAGGACTCTAATGGATGACTGGTTACTTGACATCAGCAGTTTCCAGCAATACTGCACACGCAGTATTGTTATCCAGAGTGGGTGAATGAAGAGAAAGATGACAATCAACTAGGCCAAGTCATACTTACAAGTCCACTACTGTATTGTATAGCATGCACACACTCACTGAGGACTTTGTTAAGTTCTATATAAGAAGAAAGCAGCTTTCTGTCACTCCTCCTCAGTCCCAGGGTGGATGAACAGGATGTCACGATTTTCTTTTTGCACCCTTTTTTCTCTTCAGTGTGAGCAATAGGTGCTTGACTAGGTCATGACAAGCTCCTGAGCCATGCTAAGCTGCTGACGCAGTCACATTATAAGCAGACAGAAACCCAGCCCAAGTCCTGCTGAGTCATGGAGGATTTTGTAGCACTTTGGCTGACTAGTAGACGTTTCATTTCTCAGACGCTTTAGCTGCATTTGATTTGAGCCTAGTACAAATTCTTGTTGTGCACAAAATACCTAAACCCTTTCCCCTGACATTCCCTCATAATTTACACGAATTATTGATTAACTAACTAGCTGTCATTATTCCCCACAATGTTGGACTAAACTCCAATTCTGATGATTCTTGTGAAATATCAGAAAGACAGCAGTATCACTGGGCTAACCGAGCAGTTTTTATTAGTGAGGGATCACTAAGTAACTACTCAATATGGTGTATCCTAGTTAGTAACTCTTGATTAAGTAATTAGTCGTTAATAGTTTTGTGCGGCTCAGCAGCTGAGTCAGGGTTAATCAGGAAGACTTACAAAGACAGTAGTCAGAATGTTGATTCAGGGTTGCATTAATATGGTATCTCCCTGTCGGCGCTCTAGTAAATCATCAAGATCCACTATATAGTCCTCTATTTGGAGTTATTAACGATTCAATAATTATCAGATCGTTCACTTGTACCTTAGTAACTACTCACAATTTTGTGTACTGTATTGTAAGGTGTTATCAAATAAAAAACATTTATAACTCTATAACAGTAGAGGTATATTTTGAACCCAATCTGGACAAGCCAACAGAATCTGACCAATCCAAAATATGGAGGACCTGAACAGACCCAAATAGAGAGAACGCCAACACTGGCAGCAGCGTGCTTCACCAATTAACGACCAGCCACGGTGGAAAAAGGGCAGCAATACAAGTTCTGCAATGAATTACTCTTAAGCCAAGCTGCCAACTAATTTCTCTCCAAGTAAATTATATGTATAAAGTCATGGTCATCAGAGGCAACGGCGTAATTATGCAGACTTTTAATTCCACTATCTGGGCGTGGAATTGAATTTGGGCATTCATTCATAAATATCATTCAACATCTCCATACTCAGGTCACAAGATGAAAAACAGAGCAAATTCCATTCGATCATAAAGATCATAACATGATCCATATCGTGCGATTGAAGTGACTTTAAAAAAAATAAATTCCCATGCATTTTGCTCATCACAACAATGCTTCTGTTGTTTGTGTTTTTCTTCTAGTGTCTCAGTACAGACCCTTTTAGTTCTACTAATGGTAAGGCTCTAAGAATAGGTATCACCACTACGTTGTTTCAACTGTTTAAAACTTTAATATTGGGGGTGTAATGAACATTGCAAAAGCTAGTGGGGCTATGCCTTTAATCGTGTTTTAAATTTGGTAATGTACATTTAACAATTAAAACTAAACAAACAGCTTTTAGCTTACAAAACTGTAGGCGACTGAAAGTAAGGTTTTGAAGCAGTTCAGTGATGGTGGCTTGTTGTTTTTATGAACTGGAGTGACCTTAAATCAAGCTGATGACATGCTGTTATAAAGAAAATCATTTCCATATACAGTTATTGAGCTTCTAAAGTTGTATATTTAAAAGCACAATTACCTTATTTAGGATTCGCTATTATTGTTGCTCATGGACTAAAACCTGGCGTCCACATTGTGTGGTGGTATGCTACTTAATATATTTTCCCTCGTTCTGCTGCTACCATCTCCTCTGTCCTCCACCATATCAAAGTTTGTTACTCTCATTCATACGTAGATCTTTTCCTGATCAATCTGGCCTCATATTTTATCCTTTACGGTGCCTATGATGCTATAATTTGGGGTATCAATCAGAATCAGATTTAAAAAATAATAAAACCAGATATAATTTCAAAAACATTACCACAAGTTATACTTTCCCCAAGACCAAGGTTTCTCTACATTAACGTATTAGTCCTATTATCATTCATTATTTGTATTACTATCAATATTATTTGGCATCTCTTTGTGTAACTTGCATTGTGCTACTGTGTGTTATCTTCCCTCCCACTCTGTCTCTCAACCCAACCGTTCGAGGTAGATAGCCGCCCACCCTGAGCCTAGGTTCTACCTGCTAAAAGGAAGTTCTTCCTTGCCACTGTGGCAAAGTCTTTACAAAGACTATGGTGTAGACCTGCTCTACATGAAAAGTGCAACGAGATAACCTCTGTTATAAATTAGTGCTATATAAGTAAAATATATTTGTACTGAGCTTTATCAAGTGGGGACTTGATTTCAGAACTACTTTCGTGTTCCCTCGCATGATTTATGCTACCTTGTAATTCTTTATGCATTTCCTCTGAACCATGGAGGAAGGCTGAGCTCTAACAGTAGCACTCAGAATGGATAAATTATGATGTACTATGTATGGCTTGCTGTGACCACAGCGGGAGTGTGCACATCCTCAGCTGTAGCTGGCTCAGTTGCATGTCTCTGTAATTAGCTGTTGATTACGGCTTTCAGCACGGCCATTGTGACGTAGTTTTTAACGGGTGGTGAAGCAATTTCAGAAGTCCTGTATTGTATATTGGAAACACATCTATTATTATGTGACAGAAAGACTTTAAGGAATCCCTAGTTTACACTCATGTTTTATTGTCTCCCAGTAGGGATGACTGGTATTCAATAAAATGCTAAATAAATAACGGTTGCCTCTCTTGCTCCTTCAGCCCTCTTCAGCAATATTTCCTCTCTACTCTCCCCTGTCTCCTTCCATCTCATGTTGTATCTATATTTTTATACTGGAGAAGGAGCAGGCTCTTGAATGTATTTTTTGAATGTGGCTTTGTACAGCGTGTAACAGGCTGGGTTGAAAGTAGAGTTGACATGACATAGCCAGTAGCCCACACAGTGTCAGGGACACAAGACTGGCCGAAGACTGAGACCAACACGATCACGTTATAGCATGAGGAACCAGCAGGATGGCAAAGATGCTCAAATCTAAGTGTCTGCCTTTTCAATGCTTTCTCAGCTAATGCTATTCCATTAAATGATGCAAGAGAATTATTAGTGTGCCCACAGATTTTGTGATTTTGGATTGTAAGGAAGCAATCCGCCATGTGGTCTTTTTTTTTTTAGATCTAATGATTGTATTGTGTTGCTACTATATTTGTCAACCTCTGAAGAATCATTTTACTAACCAGTCATTTAGTAGATAGAAATTATCCCTAGTAACATCTGGAACCAGTAGTCTTCCACCTGCATAGGGCAGTAATAAGAAAATCAACACCTTTTTGCTAATCAGAATGCAGGTCAGATCCATACACTACAGACAAAAACACTTTCATCCTTCCCTTAAAATTTGTTGGGTGACAATAAAAAAAAATAATTATCCAGCCCTCTGTAATTCACTTATTTTTCTCCGTCATATCCTCTTCATAAGAAAACACGATTTTGATCATCTCTTCCAAGCTTCCATTAATTTACCCTTCAGCATATCCCCTCACATCCATCCATCCATCCATGCATCCAATTAACCAGCAGGACCACTTCCTCAGCCATGCATGCTGTAGTATTGTCCCTCAGTGTATCAGTCCATACCTCCATTCATCTGTTGTTTTCCCTTCATTTTTCTCCACCCTCTACATTTACCACTCACTTCTCTACTCGCATCAATCCCTGTTGCACCATTACAGATATTTCCCAATGTCTGTGAAACCACGTCTCCACTTGGGGTGTGATTTGTTCCGTCTTAGGGAAGCTGGGCAGGTTAAGAAATCCCTTGTTTACGCTCACATTTTGCTTTTGAACAAAAGGGATTCATTTGCAAAATAAACCATATTTGCTCACCCCATGCAGATGTGTCTTCTTTTTAGAAAGAACCCTTTATCCATTTGTGTTCTCTAGTTCCTTCAGCCATCTCTCACTCACCTTTTAACAATATTTACTCTCTCCCTTGCTCTGTACCCCTTCTTGCAATGGTTTACCCCTTCCCCCTCCATCCCTCCCTCAGTCTTCTCCTTCCATCTCATCTTGTACCTATGTTTTTATACTGGCACAGCAGCAGGTTTTTGAATGTCTTTTTGAACGTGGCATTGCACAGTGCGTAACAAGCTGGGTTAATAGTAGAGTTGACGTAACACAGCCAGTAGCCAATAGCCCACACGGTGTCAGGGACACAGGACTGACAGAAGGTTGAGATCAACACCATGACGTTATACGGCGTCCATGTGATGATGAAAGCCAGCAGGATGGCAAAGATAGTCTTGGTCACCTATAGAGAATGAGAAGAAAAGAGAGAGGAATAGTGAACTGAACAAGAGAGAACAGGACAAAGGAAAATCAAAACACTGGTTATCGTTTCTACTCCCTGGAAGGCCATTGATTTTTTTTCATTCATTTCACTGTGGCGTGAAGATCAATTTGCTGAGAATTAAAACTGGTTTGAGGTAGTTAATCCATGAGAGTGACATGTGTCTGCTGTTTTATAGTGAAATAATATGTTAGTGTTGTATACTGTAGCTGTACAGACTCATTACTCAAGGTATATACTTAATCACCTCGCAACAATGATGTAACTGACGGACATAAAAGCAGACCTGATGCTCACTGTGAAAGATTATTAAACATTATTATTATTATTATTATTATTATTATAATAAAACACTGGAATATTCTTGGAATTTAAGTATACATGCTTTAATATTTGGGATAAAACATGTTTCAGCCTTTTGGGTTTAAGGTACCGTGTAAACAAAGAAGTGCACTTGAACAAAAGTCCTGACATATTCTGTACTCCGTTTATTTTGTATGCTAATTTTATAACTCTTACTTTGACAAAGAAGCCTACAAGATCTATGCCCCGTTTCCCAAACGCATCTCAGGGCTAAGATGATGGCAAAATCCATCTTACAAACCTTAAGCTTAGGGGGAGTTATTGTACCTCCTACTGACTCACACAAGCCTTAGCAGGCATTCAGACGGAAAACAGCCCTGTGTTAATACAACGCAAAGGGCTGTGTTGGAGGGGGCATGTTGTTCCAGTTACTGGCGAGATGATGAAACAGGATCCAGGAAAGCCGGTTTAAGTCATAGATCCACGACTTTGAAGGCTTATCAGACACCAAAACACCGAACAGAGGTTTATAGTACTCTTGCATAGGATATTCAAACTCTTGAAATTCTCATGACAATCGTGAGGTAAACAGTAGAAATACACATTACACATGTCACAACATAATCTGCAAGGAATCTGCGATTGCATGTAGTAGATTAGTAAATGCAGCGCCTTGCCAAGAGACACAGGTTGGCTGTGGCTCAGGAGGAAGGAGAGTGGGTAATCCACTACTTACCAGGTTGGCGGTGTGATCCCCAGTTCCTCCTGTCCACATGTCAAAGTGTCCTTGTGCAAGACTGACTGACTGACTGATTTCTGTCTCTGTCATCATTGTCCTCCAATGATTTCAGTGTACAGTTGTTTTAACAGCTTCAAACATGAGGATCGTTGAATATATATAGTATATATAACATTAATTTCTTCTGAAACATGTCCTCATTTACTGTTTTAAATTTCTATATCTTCCTATTTTTTAATATTGGGTTGACTTTATCAGCTGCAGGCTCGATTCCCCCCCCCCCCCCCCCATTATGAAATCTTTGTATTAAAGATACATTCCTCATTTTGATAACGTATACAAAAACCCACTAATTCCCCAAATGTCCTCCCTCACTGCTGATGTTTTGAATTTTAAGTGTGACCCATGGTGATTTTGAAGAGTGCTAGGAATGTGGTTTTACGATACATGCTCTCCTTTTTAAAAGCTCAGAGGAATGCTTCCAACTACCATCTGTCATTCTCAACGATAATTAAGTGAAGTAACTGCAGCACAACAGCAAGTCATCTTTGAAAACAGCTGCTCCATATCATTCACACGCTGGTGCACTGGATAGTCCCACCTGTACACCAGCGACAAATGCTGCTATGTAAAAACAATCTTTGTTTTTTTTCCATGATAAATTACAGTACCCTATTGTGTCCGGATGATCAGTGAAGATAACGTGTTATGGTATATGGTACAAAAATGCAATGCAAACTATAAACATTTAATCACAAGAATAAACAATTACCCTCATATCTGCCTTGATATTCTTCAACTCTATGTATTGTTTACCTATTTTTGCCTCATGTCTGTGCAGTGTTACATTAACATACTTTCTTTTCTCTGGCAGCCATCTGTCTTTTCCTCTTCACTTGGCTTCTGGCAATGCTTGCAAACTTTCTCGCCACAGTCCGAGGACGGCTGATTGGGATTGAATGCCTTTCTGCTCCCTCTACAGGTGGGACGATCTCTATAGCTGTGATGCATTCATCCCCGGCCTGCTTCGTTACAATTTTTATCTTGGACCACCTCGAGGTGGCGCTGATCTTGGGCTCAGCTGGATTGGCGGTCATCGTGGCAACGGGGTTGGGAGTTGTTGAAGCCTGTAACAAAATCAAAAGCTTTATTAGGAACTTTTAGAGCCAGTGTGACCTTTTGTAGGGTGTATGAAGGTGCATGAAGTCAGGGATGTAGTGTTTTAGGGCCATTTGTGTTCTCTGCCTTTCTCTCCATCTCCCACTCTGTCTGTTCTCCCTTACTTCCAGGGCGGAGTTGTGGGCTTGGCTCCCTGTGGCCGGGCGCCCCACTCACACCTGCTGACAAGCCCTAATTGTCACACCTGACTCTCTGCCTCCTAACAGCTCTCCTTCAAAAGCCTGGTTTGCCTTCCGGTCTCGGTGGATTTTTGAGAGCGTAATGCTGTGGCCAACCTGATGTTTCTAAGCTGGAAATCTGAATCTGTTTTACCTGCAATTAATCCTGGATATCCATCTTCAGGTCGAGAACCTCTGCCCATCTGGTCAGTCTTCCAAGCTGCCGCCCTGCCAACCCACCAGAGAACAAACAATTCCCTCTGCCTGCCAAGCCTCTGCTTCAACCTGCCTGCTCTGAGCCATTACCCTATGCCTGAACCAAGCCTTTACATGTTGTGCTCTAATAAAACTGTTCAGATCTGTTTCAACATGGTGAATATATATATATACACAATTTCTACCACTGGATCCTAAATTTTACACACTGGACCTTTGAGTTATTTCTGTAAGTTACTTGTACAGCTGGCTCCATCTTAACACTGGCCTGACCTCTTAATTATTAATGTTGCCTATATAGTGCTGATAAACACTGTGTGTGTCAGGCCACTTAAAAATGGCTGACGCTGTATTTAAATCAATGATTCTTGGTGCTCAAACGTAGTCAAAGTTGATGAACATGCCGACCATATTATCTACCCAGAGCAGCAGTCACATGATGAAACAATGATGATATTTTTTATTATAGCTGGCAATTTTAATCAAACCTCAGAACTGTTTTACTTTAATTCCACCCCCACTTTGGACTATCAGATCACTTTTTCTTGCTTCTCTTACCAACCTTTCCCCAGCTGATTTAAAGGGTCAAACAATCATAAAAGTGTGTACAGATGACAGTTGATTGGCACATGTTCAGAGATGCCAACTCCCAGGACAACCACATAAATCTTGACAAATATACATCATCACTGTGTTACTGCTGTACGTGTGTTTCCTTTTCCTCTCCTGGCCTCTTTAGCTCTGCCCAGGTGTGCTACATCTTGATTGCTCAATGAGGTGCACCTGGCCTAGTAGTGGGGCGTTTACAGTTTTTCTTGATTGAAGACATGCTAAATGAAACGGGGATCCACTTGATCGTCATCATCACTGTCTTAGCACAACAGGAGTCTTCTCTTGCAAATGTGCTTGACACTTTTTAATTTCTTTCAAGCGTCTTTTACAGTCTTTTTTAAAACCAGTTAATATGACCCCAAACTCTGTTAGATTGCATTTCTTTTTTTCAATCACTAACATGAATTGGTCAAAACTGAAGTCACATTGTTGAAACACACAGTCAGTGAAACAGAAGTGTATGTGGACCAAACTGTGAATCATCATTTTTCTTTACTTTCACACAAAATTGATTCTATGACCACTTTCTCCAAAATCCAAGATCTCTTTGTTTTTTTTTTCATTTTATAAATTTGCTAACACCCAGTGTCCACAACTGTTAAAAACACATTCAACACAGAATGATGGCAACTGTCCTGCATTTCTGCAACCAGTCTGAGCTATATTTATAGTAAATTACTATATGCTATTATATTAAAAAAATCCTGTAAAGGGTATTGAAGCACATTTCTAATATATTCTTTTTACTTTAGTGAAGTCAAAGAGAAAATATGCTTTTATCCTTTAACAAAATACTGATTTATGTGAAAAATACTTCAAACTTTAAAGATAAGTCCATAATTTATGTAATGCTTCCTGTAGTTAGTGTGTCTGTTTTGTTTTTTTTAAGGTCTGTGTGTTATGAGTGATAGTGTTTGCTTTCTGAGAAGAAACTGTTGTCAGTGTTTTGGCCAGGTTGCATGCTTGAAAAAGTGGCTTCAGCATTGACTGATGCTTGTTAGTAATTGACAAAAAAAAACTGTGTCGGGCAAAAGGAACAAGGACATATTTTCACAGCGGATAGATATGACCTGCATAATTATGACCCACCTGTGTGAAACTTCTTTGCACAACTCTTCTTTTGTCACTGATTAGCTCAGTTGGTAAGGCACAGTCACAAGATTGTGAGTTCGATCCTCACAAGAGACTCATTTGGGGGCGGCAGTAGCTCAGTCCGTAAGGCTGGAATTGGAGGGTTTGAATCCAGCTCGGACCAGAGTTGCGGTGTGTGGACTGGTAGCTGGAGAGGTGACAGTTCACCTCCTGAGCACTGCCGAATGAGGCCTTGATAAAGCCCCTGAACGCCACACTAAGTGGCAGCCCCCTCACTCTGACATCTCTCCGTGTGTTGCTATAGGTCCTGTTTGTGCATGTGTGTGTATTTCAGACCTGTGCGTAACTACTAATAATAACAGAATGAAAACATTGAGTTGAAAGGCGAGTAAGAGGCCACGGCAGAGGGGCATTTTATTGCAGTACAATAAAAATTTGAGTATTTCTAAATTTGGGTGAAATTCTTTATCGGTTCTTTGGTGAAGAAAGAATGCAAGACATGATTGATTTGATGATGTGGTCATCACAAGGACATTGAAATCATTCCCCAAACAGAAAGCCTGGATGAAGGGAGAGGTGAGCGCCCCGTCCAGAGCCACAAAGCTGCTTTTTTGGACAGGTAACGAGGAAGCAAACAGCACTGCCAGAGTGAGACTGAGAGCTGGCATGAAGTAGGCAACACGGACAGATCAGGAGAGACTGGAGAGAGATAACACCAAGCACACGTGGCAGGCGATCTAGACCATCACAGGCTACAAAAACAGGTGCACTCCAATCATGTGTAAGGCCACGTTGCCAGATGAGCTAAACACCTTTTAAGCTTGCTTTGATGTCCTCAACAAAGCGTCAGCTGTAAAGTCTACTCCACCTCCAGAGGCCAATGTCAGTATCCCCAACGGATGTGAGAAGAGTCCTGCTGAGAGTGAATGTGAGTAAATCTACTGGGCCTGATAACACCCCTGGCTGTGTACAAAGAATGTGCCAGCCAGCTAGTTGCTGTTATTACTGAAACTGCATGACTGCGACCCCCGACACGGAGACAACTTTGTTGTGAGGTTTACGAACGACACCACCAAGGTCGGCCCGATTTCAAACAGCAATGAGACTTCATATCAGGAGGAAATCAACAAGCTTGCAGAGTGGTACAACCTACTGCTCAACGTCAGCAAAAACAAGGAGCTGATCGATGATTTTAGGAAAAACGAGACAAAGTCACACAGACCTGTCTACATGAGCTGAGGAGACATAGACATTCCTTTGGCAGATGCAAGAAACAAACATGTTGACTTTTTAGATTGTTGTGAATAGTACATGCACATTTACAGAAATAAATATACATGTGTATTGTCAGATTAACAGATGTACATGATCGCCATTTAAACCTGGATTAACAGTCAATTACTTATTGCAAAGTGGATACTATTCTGGGAAGTATTAGACATAATAAATGTAATTTATTATTTAGGAAATAAATCGGGACAAAGAAAACTAAGACAGAATTGGTGAGTGGAGTAAAGTTTGAGTCGATCGACATCAGACACCGCTGGCCCCCTGGACAGAAGACGGTAATGTACAGCCAGTGGCAAACGCAGGGATCTCTCTTGTCTCTTTTTTTGCCCGAGTGTGCTAAGATGTTATCATCCTGGCGCTTGCTGACAGAGAGAGACGGGCCGACTCAACCCGAGTTGCCATGTGGGACCGACAATGCCTGAAAATGTCTGAGTTGTTGGGAGATCCACACCAGAGAAAGAGAAACACATCAGCTGGGCAAGTTGCAAAGTGGGGCTGAGTGCTGAGTGGGGAGAACCTGTTAAAAATGTTAACAGGTAAGTGGTGAATCGTAGGTTTGTGCTTAAGGCTATGCTTCCTTCGGACAGTCACCCATCCTCCCTAGCTTCCCGGCTGCAGGGGGACGGCTAACAGGAGCAACATCTGATTGGTCCACACTGGATACTGGTGGCTGGCTAACTACGGCAACAAACAACTGAGTTTCTATGGTGTGGATACAAGTTTCCAGTTCACTAAGCCTCGCCCTCCTTCTTTTAGCGACTCTGACTAGAAAGAAGAAATATGTGTGTGTGTTTTGTTATTTTTATTTAGTATAGCGGATAACTAGTTGCTGGCGGCATTTAAAATCAAACACGCCAGTGGGAGAGGCTCAGTCCGTCCTGAGTGTCAAACAGTGCACTACTGAAAATTTGTATTTTGGTTGAGATTTGAACGCATAATGACCCATTATAAACCGCAAAGACGATACACTTCTAAGAATGTGTTGGAAATAAAGCATGAAATGGCAAAAAAACAACAACATTTGAACACCAACCTCAGATGTCCCCTTGTTGTTGGTATTGTCCTTTGGTTCTGTAGGGTGAATAAACGCTGTGGATGAATCGTTGGAGCTCTCTTTTTCCTCCTAGATAGATAGATGGATGGATGGACAGACTGATTGATTTGCACAATGGAACAATAATGCACTAAGGAACTATGAAGGTTCAGATTAGCTACAGCTACCACACAGTCACACTGCAGAACAAAGTCTGGTGGACTGTGAGCAGTGATGTTAATTGTGTACGAGTCAGTACCTGTGTGAGTCCTGGACTGGGCTGTGCTGGAGCCTGTGGCTGAACTGGTTTTGGTTCCTCCACTCTGCCATTCTTCACAGCCTCTAGAGCGGTGGTAGTTGAGTCCACACTGAGTTTGGGAGTAGAGCGGGGGCTGGCCTGAGGACTGGTCTCATTGTTATTGTTCTGCTTTAACAGCTGACTGTTCAGTAAGCTGGGAGTTCTAGGGGGGAAAAAGCATCAGATTTGCACATTATAAAATCCCCAAATGTATATGAATCATTTATTATAATAATTAATTGATAAGCAACTTTTGCACATGATTAATTCACGTTAATAGCATGGGTGTAACATGCATCTGCCGCCAGTTTGTTTTAATAGTAGCCAACTGCAAAAGATTTACAAAATGTAGGAAAATATTCAGGTGACCAGTAAATTATTGGTTGAATAAGAGTAATTATACACACAAGGCTGCAAGATCCACATAGCCAAATGTAGTGCTTAACATACTGTAGTTACAATTGCACAAGCATATGTTGTTTATCATGCAATTGTTAGTGGCTAATTCAGGCTGAGCGTCGGGGAGGGTGATGGTGTGACACTGATATTGTGTATTTATTTATACATTATATTTTGGAACATATGCGGCATTTGGAAGGACAGCAGATGAGTATAATGTGCTGTAGGTTGTTGGGGAAGTTTCTATGAACAATATGATACTGCAGTGAAAATGGGTCATCACTGGAATCCCCTGTAACTAACCAGATTCTGGCTCAGCACAGTTGTTGTCCCCCTTCAGTGGGGAAAATAAACCCTTTTACAACCATCTTTCAGTATGCAGTCTTTTGGAAGAAATATGTTTAAACCTTTTTTTGTAGGCTTCTGCTAAGAGAAATAAGATAATGTAAACCAAGAGAACATTAACATTAAAGACAAGAAGACAGACAAAACATATAAACCAAAACTGTCTTTTTGCTGTTGCTTCAGATATTGATTTTGTGCAATAACGGTATGCTTTCCAAACACAAGCAGCTAAATTAAGGAAATCCTGTCTTTTGTTTTGTTGTTTACACCGAGTAAAATAACATTATTTGATCCCTCTGATCCCCTTACTTTATTCCCTTCTTCTCTTTCTTCTCTGGTTTGTGTTTGGAGACCCTGCTCCTGGAGGCCAGGGAGATGTGGATGTAAAGGACTGTCATAATAATGACAGGAAGATAGAATGCTGCTATAGCCGTCCCAAACGTCACCGCAGGGTTAGAAAGGAACTGCAGACAGGAAAAAAAAAAAGAAACCCTTCCATCATCACCAGAGAATGTTTACACACAATGAAAAAATTTACTGTTTTGAAATTATTGCAATTTGTACAGTCTAATACAACATACCTGAAATCAATCCTTTCTTTGTACAGCTTTACAATATTTAATTTTGTTGACACTGTTTTTCTTAAACTGTCAGTCTTTGAGGTTTTAGTTTGTGTTGGTGTTTATTAGTATGACTTTATTGTGTCATACTAAGGGTGTAATATTTAGGCACGACCATACATATAGATTAAGGGGACACACACACAAAAATAGAGGTACAAGACAAGAACAATTCTGTACTTACAGGTACCTTTGAAGAATATTTTAAGTATACTTTCACTTAAGTGCACATAATTGTCTGTCTAAGCGACAAGCATTTGTACACACCCTTACTTCTATTTATTTGAGTGTGCAGAGTATTTAGACACAGAGCGCAACAAAAAATGATGTCTGAATGTAAATACGTAAAACGACAGAATATGTCATTTCCCAGGTCCTGCATGTAAATTCACTCCTAAAATTAAGATCAAACTTAATATATATTTGTGACAAAATAATTGTGGTGTAGGCCTTTGGTGTGGCACCTGACATCACGTGTCAACTGCGGGGAACACTACATCAGTGAAACACCAAGGGACCCACAAAGGACTGAATGAACACCAGAAACAAACATCAACCAGACCGAAACCATGACAAATGGGGGTAGCTAAGCTAGCATGGCTGCCAGCAAACTAATTTGCTAGCAGTTTTACTCCCTGCAAACTACTTTTGGCTGTGCGATCTGTATGTTTGACGCTGATTTTTTATTTGAAAAAAATGTACACATTTGAGCAGGAACTTATTGATTACAACTGCTGTCTAACAACTGACCATTGGCTAAGCTACGCCCTCCTTAGTTACTGTTGCTAAGGCCAACAAACTGTCGGACCTGTTGGACTTTTAGCACGACGCTGTCTATTCCTGCACTCCCTGGAGAAATAATGCCTAATTTTTGGAAAAGCGAAGCAGACAGTTTTGCAGTCGCGTTGTGCATTTGAAGGTTGTATTAAGGCTATTCAAACAGACATTAAAAAAATAAAGACAGAAGCTAAAGCCAACCGATCAGAGTAGAAGTGAACCACCGTATTATTGAATATTGAGAAAGAGCACAACGATATTAAGGATCAACATTGTTTCTGTACAGCTGTAGGTCTCATTAAAAAGCAGAACAGTAGGGATATATAACGTTACATTCATTAGTAAATTAGCTAGCGTTAGCTAACTAAAATTACATTAGCCAACACTTTCCTGTATTTGTTTTAGGTTTTGAAAAATGAATAAATCGTACTTCTCCTTTCAACCTCTCTGGGTAGCGACTGTGACTATTAAAAGTGCCCCAGGAACAGCTTTGACCATATCTTGGAAACAACAAAAGAGCTAGAAAACGACTCATTTTGCATTAGAGTCAATGAAGTGCAGCCATGAACGTGTCGGACCCCCAGTTAGAGGGAGTCCTATACTGCGCTGTGACTGGCCAGCTGCGTATTTAGGGTGTGGCTTAGTGAAGGGTCAATTACAGCGGCATTGAACTGTGCTCATATATTTCTGTAGACATTGTGAACACAGCTGGTATTGATGGAGGCAAGAGACCCACATATTAAAGAGTTTAAGGGGTTGCATTAAACCTGTAATATAAAAATATAAAAGTAATTTATTTTGAAGAGATCCTTATGTGATTTTGAAATTATAATCTATTTGCATCAATATTTGCGATGGGATGAGGGCTGAACCCAAGTCATCAGTTTGTTTGTCATGATCATTGACTTTTTATAAATTGTGATCATATTATATTTGTACATTTTTCTGACTTCAATTTGTCAAAACTAAAAGGAGGCAGAAGAATAAAGCAGCAGATTGATTAACAGCTTTACAGGTTTTTTCTAAGGCAACCAAGACCTCCCAACACCTTTGACTGTCACTCTCCTTGCATAGCGGCCTGTGGAGAGTCTCTCCACATCCACTGGGAACAGGTTTAAGGTCATTGACTATGAGTCAGTGGACATAAGGAGAATGATCAAGGAGGGCATTCATATATGGCACAAGAGACCATCTCTCCCCATCACAGCATTCCACATTTAGGCCATGTGATGTTAAATATGTGTAAAGTGACTTCTTCATACATCAACAGGTCATTTCAACATCTTTCTTAATAATTTGGCAGGCAGCAAATGTGCTTATATTGTAGTCTTTTTCCCTGCTGTATCTGCTTAAAGGATCAATAAAGTTTTATGTACTGTACCTGAATATAACACTCTCCAGGTGGCACCATTCGCTCTCCAACGATGAACTGCCAGAACAAGATGGCAGGAGCCCACAAGATGAACGACAGGATCCATGCTGCTGCGATCATTAACCCTGCCATCTTAGTTGTCCTCCTTGTCGGATACGTTAGGGGTTTGGTTACGCAAAAATAGCGATCGAAACTGATGATTAACAAATTCATCACGGAGGCGTTTGAGACAACATAATCTAACGCTAGCCACAGGTCACAGACCACCGGGCCAAGAGGCCAGTAGCCAACAATAATGTACACTGTGTACAAATTCATGCTGAAAACACCAATGATCAAGTCAGCGCATGCTAATGAAAATAAGAAATAGTTATTGACAGTTTGTAGGTGGCGATTTACTTTGATGGACAGCATGACTAAAATATTTCCTGTGACAGTCACAAAGCTTAGAGATCCTGTAACTAAGGCAATAAAAAACATCTCCAGAGCTTTATATGGACTCCCTGCCCCGACTCCATCGTCCACGGGAGAGCAGAACGTTGAATCATTGGTGGACAAGTTGCACGAGGTGTTGGAGAGCAGGTCAGCTGATTGGTTGACTGATGACCCTGAAGGAAGAAAAATAGAGAGAACAACATAAACTAAGAGAAATATGGGGCGTACAATAGCAGTACTCATCATTGAAATAGTGGCTGATTAATTTTAAAGGTCCCCTATTATGCAAAATGTATTTTATTTGTCTATATTTGTCTATATTATGTCTATATTATGTCTGTATTTTATGTCTTTTCAACTTAAATGTGCGCCTAAAACTAAGAGGAAAAAAACATCCCCTCTCTCCTTCTGCTGCTCAGTATTTAAGTAAATTAGTGTGCAAACACAGTGTATTAATTTGGCTCCTTCCTACCCAACATGTACCGAATACACCGCTCTCCACCATGCTGCTCCAACCGATCAACCTGTTTGTCCAACACAACACCAAGCAATGTTGTATATATTTTCTCTATGAAATATGATCCAGTTTCACCAAAATCAGTTAACAAAGATAATAAAGTTGTGTTTTGTACTGTAATCAGACAGACCTATCTCCACGAAGGCCCCAGGGACTGCCATGCTTTAAAGCCAAAATGACATAGTGAACAAACTGTGGCATTAAATCTTCCAGGTTCGTCACATGATGTACATTGGCCCCAAGAGACCTTTTCCCATTAACTTACATTGTGAACCAAGCAGCTGTAAAATGGTGGATATTTTATTTCGCGAAATGACTTACTGTCAGAATTTGACCCATTTGGTCAAACCCCGGTTGCCCCGGCCTTTCTATGTGGAGTTTGCATGTTCTCCCCGTGTCTGCATGGGTTCTCTACGGGTGCTCTGGCTTCCTCCCACCGTCCAAAGACATGCAGGCTAGGTTGATTGGTGACCCTAAATTGTCCTTAGGTGTGAGTGTGAGTGGTTGTTTGTCTATGTGTGGCCCTGCGATGGATTGGCGACCTGTCCAGGGTGTACCCCGCCTTTCGCCCGAAGTCAGCTGGGATTGGCTCCAGCCCCCCGCGACCCTGTACGCAGGATAAGCGGTTGACGATGGATGGATGGATGGATGGTCTGATTTGGAAAATCACTTTTTACTTTAGCAGAGGGTTAATTTGGAAGTTACCTTAAAGCTGCTGCTGATTCTTTTCCAACACCAAACATTTTGAACAGTGAAATCAAAAATATTCTGTTTTGATCAGCTGATGATTGTTTAAGTACTTTCCTTTTAATAAATACTAAAAGACAACTATTAATATTGGTCTATAGTTATTAAAGTTAGTAAGTTAGTCCAAGCTGTGCGGTGAGTTCAATATAAAACTAGGCTAAACAAGCACTTTGCATAATGTTAATGACTCAGCAGCCTATTATTTACAAGAGAAGTATCAGATTATCATTGTTTCTGTGGCTTTCGATGCGTTTTTCTTTGTGGAAGTTGGCTGATGTGACACTAGTGCTCTCAGTCACCAGTTTCACCTCTAAAAGCTACTTATTGGGTCAGTGACAATTGTGATATTGTTGACTTTAAAAAGATGACCACCTCTAATGACAATGAGTCAGACTAGAATATTATAAACCAGTCAAATGAAATGCTCAAATCTTTCTTATACATTAATCTAGAACGGCAATCATACATATTAATGTGTAGGTTTATTGGTGGCACTACTTCAAAGCACCATGCATATTGAATTTCATTGCATACCCTCTAACCAGTCTGGCAGTATATTAAATTTAGGCCATGGTTTAAATATACAGTGTATTGTTCTTTCAACAATGTTCTGTGTCAATGCAGTTATTCTATTGACATTCAAACTCATTTAACAGAGAAAGACTGGCTGGCTCTGATAACATTCAACAGACGTATTAAGTGCAGGTAGAAACAAATGCTGCACAGCCAAAAAAACAGGAGACAGACTGCTGGGGGGATTCATTTTCAAACATTAAAGCAGAATGAGCATTTTCTGGAAATTCTTAATGGTTTTAGATGGATATTAAGTGCAGTTTCTCAGATTTTAAACTTTTTAACTAACTAACACTAAAGTGCAATGTTTAGGTTTGCAACTAATGTGTAAATGTTCAGAAAATGAAAATAAATTTGAACTACAGTGGCATATCAGGGCTGCCAACTTTTCAATTTAGTTTCGATTCGATATGGGTGCATTTCATGAGTATATGCCAGCATCATCACTCCTCAACCCCAGGAATTTTGTTTTTGTTTAGCAGCCAAATTCACAATTTTAAAGCGTGTTTTTAGCAAAAGCCAAGTGAATAATTATGGTCAACGATGAATAAGTGTGGTTGATCAGCATACTTGCCAACCTCCAGACATAATAGCCAAAATTAGGAGAGATAATCTGGGGATCTTCCCCATGAAAATTGTTGACTGTTTTTCTGCATTCTAGTAAATTTGAAATTAGGAGGACCGGTGGGAAGAGGCATTGATGAGAATCTGGAGGGTAAAATAAATGAGTGGATATGATTGAATTTTGTTAACATACTGTATATTGTTAATGGTAGGTATTGCTGATTTGCAATTTAAAACTCACTTCAAGGGTGTAACTTGTGTGGGAGTTACAATAAAGTGGAGGGGGCAGAATAAAAACTGTAATATTATTTTTCTGCATTTCTACAGCTACTTAAAAAGATGCTGTCTTGTTCCTCTTTACATGTTTAACCCATAACGCTACTGAACATCACATGCTGTGGTGTTGAATAAGCTATGAGGGTGTGACGGGACACTTGGTTCATGAGATGAGACATGATACTGGGTTCATAAGAACGAGATGAGATTTTACACTATTTTTAAGAAATTTTAAATGGCAAATTCTATGAAAATTTTGAGCATTAAACATTTGGTCTCTAACTCTAATAACTCTAATGAGTTATGGATGATTTCCAGGATTTCAACCACACCACTATGAATGTTAAGAACCACAGACTAAGCCAGAAATCTTGGTGTAGTCATGGACTCAGACCTGAATTTCCACAGCCACAATTAGACAATTACAAAGTCAACCTCCTTTTGCCTAAGGAATGTATCAAGGATTAAAGGATTTATGTCTCAGAAGGATTTGGAAAAATGTGTCCGACTACTGTAAGGGTGTCTTTACAGGTCTCCCTAAAAAATCAGACAGCAGAACGCTGCTGCTCGTGTCCTCGGTAAGACCAAAATTTTGGACCACATCACTCCAGTTCTGCGGTCTATACTGCTTTTAGTTTACAAAGTACTGAATAGGGTCAAAATACATTTCTGATCCAGACCTCTCAGGTCATCTGAGACGGGAATGCTTACTGTTTTAGAGTCAAAATTCAACATGGAAAGAAGCAGCATTTAGTTTTTATGCACCATATCTCCAGAACAATCTGCCAAAATAACTGCAGGTCTGCTGCAACTCTTTTGCCATTTGATGGAACTTAAAAAGCTTCACAATTTAGCATCGCAAAGGTCTTTAGTTTGCACTGCCCAAATTTGAAGTTGATCAGATGAATTCTCTAGGAGGAGTCTGTTAAAGTACGGAGCCTGATGGCTTTGATGGATAGTCGTCATGGGGGGCTATTGAGCCAAATTTCACATCACCAAGCCCAAATGTGAAATCAGAAAAAAAGTATTTACCAGTTCACGTATGGGTGCAAAGTTTGGTGACTTTTTAGGTATGAGGGCTTGTCGATGTCTGAGCAACATTCACAATTGTATGTGCATGCAAGTCTGTCTTTGCCTGCAGCTACACAAATACCAACGGCCCGATGCTCACCCACTACAGTAACTCCCGGTGGAGAGACATCCACCTCTACATCATGTATAGTTAGAGCACAGCTTGCAACAAGTAAGTCCACTGAGGCAGCACCTATTGACCCTGCTGACTGGATGATTCTTCCTGAACAATTTTTGCCTAGGGCCAGCCTTGACAAAACCAAACATTGGGAAGTTTTAGTTGAGCAGAATGCCTATCAAAAGGCAGGTACTGTTCAGGCAGGTTTCCCAATCCAGCAATGAGCTCCTGTATTTAAAACAGGCAGAGTTGACAATGTAAACAGTTAGGGATATTTTGAGACCTACAGTATATTAAATGGAATATAAAATTACATATTGTTTTTTAAAAACTGTACGTATGACAATTTTAAAAATGACATGGTGGGAAAGTAATACTAATAATCTTTTCTTATGAAGAAAACCCTTATAATAAATAATTACAAGCACTATAAAATATTTTCCCGTAATAGTAAACATGTGTTGCTGCTATAAACTCAAGTGATCAGTATTTAGGTGTTGAGAGAGAAAGAGAGTAAGAGAACATATCTTTGCCTTTTACCTGCAGTGAGTATTCAGATCCTTTACTTAAGTAAAAGTACCACATAATTCCACATAAAAATACACCATTACAATGAAAAGGTATTGAAAATGCTAGTTAGTTTGAGGAAAATGGACATGTTAAAAAAAGTACTCAATGCATAAAAATGGCTCCTGTGAGTGTATGCAATATATTTAATTATCTACTATATACTGTATGTACTATTTTATAGTATAGCATTAGATTATTATATCTCATATTAATCTCTAAGCAACATTTAATTTGTGTAGTAACTATTTTATATAGGGCTAAAATAATGGTTATTTTCATTATGGATTAATCTGCTGATCAATTCATGTATTATTACGTATGAGAAATTAACCTTCAAATGACCTTTGTCCAGCCAACAGTCCAAACCTCAAATTATTCAGCTGTGATTAAAGACAAGGAAAAGAAGCAAATCTTTACATTTGAGAAGCTGAAAACATGAAATGTTTGGCATTTTTGCATGAAGACTGACGTAAACGATTAATCTGTTATCAAAACAGTAGCTGTTCAATGATACCATGGCATCAGTTGATAAGGTGAGTGGAGTGCGGTGGTGTTTCAACATGTATTTAATGTATCTGCAGTGTTCTGTTGTTTGGTGTGAGAGACCCAGGTTCAATTCCCCACTGTGATCCATCCACCAATGTGTCCTTGAGCAAAACACTTAACCCCTAGTTGCTCCAGAGACGTGCAACATCTTACATACTTTGCAATTGTAAGTCGCTTTGGATTAAAGCATC